GCACTCCTAGAAGTGCGAATATCTCTGAAAAAGGGATGGGGGGGGGGCTAAGGAAGATATCGCTGGCAAGAGTGGCACTGCAGTCCTAGAGAGAGAATCCTCGCCCCTCCTAACACAAGCGTCTACATACAGAAAAGGGGGAAGGGGAAGAGAAAAGGGAGTGGTTGTATCAGATTTTCCTTTTTCGGATCTTCTCTGGGCTGAACTAGGAGATCAGCTCAACTATTCTCCGCGAATTGCACCATAACCAGACAAGGAACAGAAGTTCGGAGGGGGACGGAGGGGGCGGCGGGGCCAAGGTCGTACGCAGAATCGCTGCTTTCGGTAACTGCAGAGAACTCTCTCGGTCCGCCACAAGAGACGGTGGGAGCAAGCAAGGACTTCTGTGCAACCTGTAGGGCGACTCTGATCTTCTCCTCTCCCCTTCCCACAGCCAGCGCTCAGAAAGGGAAGGAGAATCGAGTCCCTCCGCCCGAGGGTCCTGAAGGAGAGAAGGGGGAGGAGGAATTGGGCGGGAGGAATACGGCGTGCCGCCGCCGCCGCCTTACCTCGCTCTATATTGCTTATGGCTCTTCTCAGATGCTCCTCTGTGACCAGCTCGCCCACCACGACCAGGAGATAAAATTTGCTGTCGAGAAAGCGGTGCGACAGGCTCGGCGAGGGGGGGACCGCGCTGGGAAGGCTACAAGACGGCTCCGACTCGGGTTCCAGCACCACCGTCGCCATCCTGGCAAGCCCCTCGCCGCCGTCGCCTCCTCCCTCCTCCTCCGCAGCGCCTTCCTAGCTCTTCTCTCAGCAACGGCAGAGAAAGAGGGGAGGCGACGAAAGGGTGTAGTTCCAAAGGCGCCTCCCTCGGCAGAAAAAAACGCGCACCGAGAGGCACCACCGCGCTCCAGGCAGCTGGGAGAGTGAGGGAGGGTGGGGAGGCGGCGGCGTTTTTATACCGAGACAGTGCGGGGCTGGGACCTGGCGAGAAGGCGGAGGGAGGCGGCGGCGTTTTTATACCGAGACAGTGCGGGGCTGGG